TCACTATTCCGAATGAAATTAAACATCATATAGTGATTGATATCAATTTTTGAATCATTGATCCAGTCAGATTTAGTCATGGGTTCATGAGCACATGACATATGTGCAATGTTTAGATATATCAACAACATTTCAATTCTGGTGATTCCAGTTCAGTCTAGCTTTCTTATATGAAACCGTGCGCTGTTGTGTTGTACTCACTAATACTCTAGCTATTTTGAAATAGATACTACTTAAGGTCATAGCTTTACTAAGCTGTCGTTTTGTGATTGCTCTTGGTTTTTTGACATTTTATAGCGTTTCATATAATTATATTAATAGAATAGAGAGAAGCAAATTTTCACTAGTTATTAATCGATTGAACTTACAAAATCGATAAAAATTCGAGTTTAAACTCAAGTTATGATGATCGATGGAGATTTATAAAATATTTATACATGAGTCATTAATTTCGAATGCAAGCCGAAACAATAGTTCAAACACAGAAATACGTTCGTATTCAAATTAATCTTTTAAATTTAAAGACCCTATTTATATTGATCAACAATTGGGACATAGTCAACCGAGCACAATTAATGCAAAATTCGAAAAATCAGACAACTGTCAAAAATTCGGAAAAATTATTTAAAATTCAATTAATTCAATCTAAAAAATCAAACTTTAATTAAAGTTCAAAAACGAATTATAAAAATTCTGTAGTCCAAAAATCCAAGATAACAATTCAAAATTTGTCACGACCCGTGCAGTATTGTGAGGAGATTCACTCTTTTTTCTAGTCTTCAAGATTCATTAACGATCGTGTTTCACAAGACTCAACTAATTAAAACTCAAGAAAATTTTACAAGTACAGCCATAAAAAAATTCAAATTAAAAAGCAATACCAATAAATGCAGAACCTAAAACTCCCAAATCAAAAAATAGAAAAAAGGAGCAAAAACAAAAAAAACCATGAGAGCCTCGAAAGTCGAAAAAAATCAGTAGTTCAGAATCAGATAGGTAGTGATTTAAAAAAACATGTTTCAGACACACAAAGTGAATGCTTTAACGTCCTACCGGCCCTTGACTCCTCAATTTAGAGAATAAATTTTCAAGTAATCGTTTATTTTTTTTTGTTTATTAAACACTTATTTCAGAAAATAAAATTTTGAGTTCAAAAATTCATTGTTGTCCATCTAGCTGTCATGATCTGTTGGGTGAATGGAGAAAGGGGGGGGGGGGGTACAGTTTTCTTGCTCCATACTTCAACATTCGTTTCCAATCATGTTTCACAAAATCATCGATGCACAACAACTCTGTCTGTTGCTTTTGTGAGCCAGTGAAATATGCCAAACAACAGTGTTTACTATAGCAGTAACGATGGACTTGAAACGTAAACAAAGCTGTTTAGTGGCTAAGGTAGATCTAGATATCAGCTTTATTTTCTATTCACAAACGACTTTGAAATAGTATCTCAATTCGTTAGTGAATTTCTTTCAATATTTCTTGGTCCTGTAATCACTTTTCTTGTTTTGTATTTGTAAATAGTCGCGGTGAATATGACAACTTGCAGTCACGTCTTTGTCGTCATTATTCGTGCTCTTGTAATGAATGCCGCACAGCAATGTTCCTTGACTATGAAACATCTTTTCTCGTTCGTCCATATAATGTCTATTAATAAGTGTATGGCAGTGAAGTCTCGCTTCGATGTTTGAAGAACCAAAGAGGAATCTCCTGTCTTTCGAGTATCTTGTGGTATAGTCGACTTGGGTCAGAGTTATCTTTGCTCAGTGCTTGAGCTCTACGTATACAGTGACTGCTCATGTAATAGTCATAGGAACTGATCTATGTTACTATGTAGTCAGTTTGCTAACGCAGAAATGACCTGAGACAAGCAGTCGTAAGTGGTTTGTCTAGAGTAAGCTGAGTGTGAATGTAGGGAAGGAGGTCTACTGTATACCCACACTCACACACCCCACGTCCACATCCTGATTGAAATTACATTATTTTCTATTATCGCTGGATATATAACGTTCAGCTCTACATTAAGCAAGCATACTAGAGCGCTCACCCACAAGGTTATAGGTCTTGAGAATATTGATATTAGAGTAAGTTTGAAATTTTTGAATCTTTCAACACTTTTCTTTCATGGAAATCTCAACATTGTTGTTTCCTTATATTGTTAGAAATCACGAAATGACTTTTTTATGACATACCTAATGTGTTTTCCTGTGAATAAGACACATTTTTATTTCTGGTATAAAAAACGATCGGAAGTACTGTACCAGTAAAAGCTAATAACACATCTAATAAAAACAAGACATCTTTCTCACATCATTTACTTAAGAGTAGAGGTTTTGGGTGTTGGTCACATAGTCTACATCCTCTTCCGTGTCATACTGTTCAAATCGTCCATGACTATTAGTAACCTTATTTGTCTGATGTGTTTGTTTCGTTTGGTGTGCTTCAATATACTGGTTCGCTTGATATATATTACGTTGTGTTCGAGCTATTTTTGCTCGGCGAGACTGAAGTGTAGATGATAGTTGCGACAGTTCTTGATCAACAGCTACTTGTGATGTTCGTCGATTCTCTGCTTGGGTATTCAAATTGTCTGCAACTCTTTTTCTTTTGTCATAGATATTTTGTTTTTCATTCAGTTGTCGAGTAAGTCGATCAAGATCACGTTCTGTATTACGCAGTTGTGCTTCAGCTTGATCACAAAGACGCTTTGTTTCCTGTTGTAAAGTTGCCTGTCGTTGTATCTGTCGTTCCGTGTCATTCATTTGGTTTTCGACATTTTTGATTGCTTGTCTATTAGCTAGCTGTTGATCTTCAACAGCATGTAATTGAACTTCACGCTCTAGTTTTTGCGATTGTTTCGCTGCTAAATCTGATTTTTTCCTGTTTACTTCTGCTTGAAGAGAGCCTTTTGCAAGTTGCTTTTCACTCAAGGTCACACGTTGCCTTTCAATATCACGTGTTAGTGTTTTGATTTCTCGTTCCGCCTGTTGTTTCTCACGATCAAGTTCGCTTAAGTGAGACTCAAGTTTCGAATGTTCGGCTTCCAGTTTTTGCATTGCTTTTTGTGCTTCTTTCAACTTTTGATCCTGCTCGGCTAAGTCTTTCTCAAGTTCAGGTACTGACTTGTTCAACATATCAAGATTTGCTTGCACATTTTGTAAGTGATTATCGATACGCATGACTTCCTTTTGTTTTTCTCGTGCCAATGCTGCTTCTTTGTTCACTTCAGCTATATTTGCATCACGTTCGCGCGTTTTTGCTGTTTCTTGACTTTTTTGCTGATTGAGCTGAGACTGCTTGCCTTTTAGTTGATTCTCATTTTGTGTCAATGCATCTTGCGAGTTTTTGATTTGTTGATCGAGATTTTGAACACGTTGAGCTAAGTTCTTGACTGCTGTATCAAGTTGATTGACCTCAGTCTTCAATGTTTCGCATGTTTTCTTCTGTTTTTCAAGTTGAGACTTTTCATTTTTAACTGCTGTCTCTTTCTCTTTGACCTTCTGTTCTGCTTTCGAGCAATCTTGTTTCAATTTTTCGAGTTTCTCTTTGATCGTTGTCACTACTGCCTTCTGTTTCTCATGTTCTCCTTTTTTGGCATTGACTCGTTGTTTCTGAGTTTCGAGTTCACTTTTTCGTTGCTGAAGTGTTGCACGAGCTTGTTGTAGAGTGGCTCGGCATTTTGTGGTATGTGCACGAGCTGCTGTATGTTCACCCACTTTCAGTTTATGATAAGCTGTGCGCTGTACCATTTGTGCTTGGCAAGCAGCAACTTTTGCTTGAGCTGCTGTCACTCTGGTTGCTGCCGCAGCAGAAGCTCCTGGAACGGCTGCAGCAGCAGCGACTGCTGCTGTTGCACTAGCAAGCTCTGCTTGAGCAGTTGCCAAATTGCTTTGTGCTGTTGTTAATTCAACTTGCGCTTGTTGTTCAGCCGTACGCGCTGCTGTTTCTTTACTCTCTGCTGATCGTAAGGCTGCTTCATCGTTTCTCACCTGTTGTTCTTGCTTTTGATGAGCTTGTTCCGCTTGTTGTTGTTTGTTTTCTTCTGTTTTCAATTCTTGTTCAAGTTTGTTTTGTTTCTCGCGCTCACGTTCCAGTTGTTTGGCACACTCATCACGTTGATCGCTCAGAGAGCGAAGATTTTCACTTAAAGTTTTGAGTTCATTTTCTAGACGAGTCATATTTTGTTGAAGTTTATCCCTTTGTTGTTCGGCCTTTTGTAATTCGCTTTTTTTTCCATCGAGTTTGGCATTTGTATCCTGTCTCTTTTTATCTACATCAGCACGTTCTTTCGTCTGCGTCTGCAGTTGACCTCTGAAATAGATATAGCTATCTCGATGTTGCAAGACTATAAAAATAACTTACTGTAATTTATTCTTCTCTCCATCCAGCTGTTGAATTTCTCTACCTGTCTTCAGTATCTCTTGTGAAAGTGCAGCCAACTCTTGTCGAAGTCGATTAACTACAGTTTGAAATTGATTCATTCGATTTTGAGCCGCCTGCAATTCTGCTTTAGCACGATTTATGTTTTGTTGTGCTTCACGTTTTTCTGCTTCCAATTTTGCTTGTTCCTTTTGTAACTCTGCAATATGATTCTTCTTTAAATTGATCAAATGAGCTATTCGTTGTTTCATATCTTCGATTTGTTTTTGTTCAGCTTCGTTTGCATCAAGTTTCATCTCATTTTCACGAAGACGTTGTTGAATCTGTTCTTTTTGTCGTTCAAGTGCTTCAATTCGGTTTTGTAATTCTTTGATTTCATCTTCGAGACGATCTATTTCTGCTTCGAGTAATCGTATTTCTTGAGTTAATTGTTCAAGACGATTCTGTAACTCCTGTAGTTGTTGTTCAAGTTGTGCAATTTGTGCTTCTATTCGATGTATCTCTTGCTCAAGTTGTTGTCGACGTTGTTCGAGTTGTGTACGTTGTTCTTCTAATTCATATTTCTGATCTTCGAGTTTCTTGAGTTGTTCTTGAAGTTTTCGAAGACGTTCTGTTTCTTGATAAAGCTTGTCTTGAAGACGATCGTGTTCCAATTGTTGTTGACGACGTTGTTGTTCTAAACGAGTTTGTTCATCTCGTAAATCTTCGAGTTCTTGTTCAAGTCTTTCTAGTTCATTATTGAGTTGCTTGATTTGTTCATCCAATCGACGAATTTCTGCTTCATGATCTTTCGATGCTTGCTTAAGTTCTTCGATACGTGCTTCGACCGCTCGTAATTCATCCTTGGCGTCTTGTTTTTCTCTCTCTAAACGCTGCAACTCATTATTCACCTTCTGTATGTCAAGATCTCCTTCATCATTATTGTTGAAATGTGAAGCCATATTGAATAAAGTAGTTACGAAAATTAATTCTAAAATAATTTGAAATATAGTGCTCTATACTTACAATATGATGCTGCAAAAACACCCAGAATGAGCATTACGGCGACCAAATACGGCTGTATCTTCGCCGTACTTCGACGATCTTATCAGGACGAACTTTCTCTCATATTATAACGACAATACATCGGCATGCTCGCGTAAATGCTAGGGTTATCAAGGATGCTCTATCGATTCCTGGGTATAGGTATGGGATCACATCCAGCACCACACTGAGAAATAGAATCTCAATACTTCATCGGTCCATTTACTGGACCAATCAGATTTCAAGAGGACTTTTCTCTCTTATTATAAGGGCAACATATAGGCATGCTCGGGCCGATGATAAGGTTATCGAGGATGCTCTATCGATTGAGGGGTATATGTATGGCTTCCTACTAAGCTCAACACTGAGAATTCGAAAATCGCCCTTTCATTGGCCCATTAAATGGACCAACCATGCTTCAGGAGGACTTTTCTGTCTTATTATAAAGACAACATATTGGGATGTTCGGCCCGATTCTAAGGTTATCGAGGATTCTCTATCAATTGAGGGGTATATGTATGGGTCCACTCATATTACTTCATAGAGATATAGAAATCGGGCCTCTGATTGGTCGGTTAAAATGGTCCAATGAGATTTCAAGAGGACTTTTCTGCCTTATAGTACGCCCATGTGGTAGTCATGTTCGGGCCGATCCTAGGCTCTTGGGGATACTCTATCGATTGATGGGTATAAGTATGGGTCCCCTCCTATCCCTTCATGGAGATACAGCAACGCGGGCTTTGACTGGTTCTTTAACAGGGCGTCTTATGAGGTTTTATAATACTGGCGTATACAGCCGTCGCGTTGCCACGCGGGTCGTAACCGGCGACAGCTTACGGCCGATGTTTACAGTTGCTGTAGTATGCCGTAATGCACTAGGTACGACTGTTGTAAACAGCGATCGGAAACGGCTGACGTATACGATGCTTTACGTTGTTTTCCGACCAAAGTATACAGTCACCGTATTGTTACGGTAGCAGTTTACGGTGGACTTGTATGGTGAGCGTGTACGATTGACGTAATATACTGTAAAGCATCGTTTACTGCCGCTGTAAACAGCTACTGTAAACAGTCGTCGTTATTCGCCGTATTTGGTTAGTGAACGGCCGTTTACGGCCGAGTGTGATTGACCTGGGCAATGAAATTGTTCATCATTGAGAATATTAACCAGGAAAATTCGGATATACACGAAAAGCATCACAAGCAGTCCAACCACAGAGAGATCTAATTTACATATGTCTTAGGAGCCAAGGAAAACTACAAATCTCAGGTTTCAAATTCAATAGACTTTTTTCATTCTCTGTCAGAATGAAAACAAGGACAAAAATATAAAAGAAATGAGACGACTGACAAAGAATAACCTTGCTCGCTGAAAGAAAAAAAACGCGTCTTCTAAAAGATTTTTGCAATTCATCTGTCAAGAAAAGAAAAGAACAAATGAGAATGAAAATGTGTGCCCAAATAAACTTACACTTGGTAATGAGTAGTAAGTTTTACAAATCTGACTGACAATAAAATTAGTTGTATATATATCGTCAAGATGAAAATTTCTCAATAAAATGAAAGCTGGAAACTGCCACTGGTTTTTTTATGGTGACAGGTGACATCAAGGGGAATTTCATCATTGTTGAGTCACTCACATTATTCAAAGTAAGTAAAATAGTGGTCGAGTTATAATAGTTGAATGGCAATAAAACAAAAAAGAGAACGTAAGAAAAAGCATCACGATAAGGACACAACACGACTGTTGTTTTTCATTCTGTCATAGTGAAAATTACCCACTGTTATTTTGAAAGTAGGAAGGGCGAGCGTGTTACTTGATTATAAAATCGGAATCGTAAAAAGCGAGAAAAAACGTAATTTGTCTATAGCAAAAGCCGATACAGTATATAAAGATTTAAGGTGAGCAACTACAAAATGCATGTGCTTCATTCAAAATTGATTGTTTTTCTTTTTGCAGAATGACACACCACAATCTAACGATTACTCCTGATAGATATTTCAAGTCAGGCATCTCTTTGAACGAAGAGAATATAAAATCTTTCCGTGATCTTTATCGAAAGTTGTCCAAAACTAATCAATTTGATGGACATGAGATCGATAAAACATCATTACTCAAGGCTGCTCAACAACTCGGAATACAAGCTGATTTGAACGACTATCAAGAGATATTGCAAGAATGTGTCAAATATGAAGATGAAGAACAAACATTCTTGTGTGTTGACATACGTATCCAAGGTTCAGTACAACAGTTGTCATTAGGTCTTCGTTCCATTTCTGCACCAACGTCAAAACCATCAAAAGAAGATCAAGTACCTAAAATTTTGACCGAAGTCAAATGCGTACTTATCATCAAACGTCAAGGAAAAGATGTGAATGACTTTCTGCATACATTTCTCTTGCAAATTGTCAAGAAAATCAGTACACGTGAGTAAGTAGAGTAATCTGAATTGTAATTTTTAATTATTGAAAGCTAGAAGTGATTGGATCCCTAGAGAATATACTGAGTTAAGGGTACCCAAAAAAGTACCCTGATACCAGTATGTCACAAGAACTTTTGGGTACCAAAGTACTTGCAGGTACTTACAGGTACCTAATTGGTACTTTGGCAAGTACCCTACTGGAAAATGCACAGTAATTGGGTACCTAAAGGTACTGATCAAGTACTGAATTGGGTACCATTGTATAGTATTTCTAAGTACCCTGTTACCAAATTTTCAGTATGTTCAGGATCGAACCTGATCTTTGACTTTTTAAATTTTTTTCTTTTTCTTGAGATAATTTGCTAGATTTTTTTTACTTTATTCAATTTAATTTTTTCAATTCCAAAAACTTAGCAGGAACAATGTCGGTATCCGACTCAACTTGAGTTGGTCGTAGACCACTTCAGGGTAGTCCGATCTTAATTTACGACCAAGCTCGGCATTTCCTCGACTAAGAAATAGTCAAGAAATAATTTAGAAAAAACTAGTATGAAAATTGATTATTTTCTTATGATTTATCAAGTTGTTTATATAGAGCCGTACGTAAAAAAGAAAACGGTGAATGAATAGTCGCCAAACAGAACGCGAAAAATTTAGGATACCCTGTCGAGATTTCCTCAGTAAAGTTACAGACTTGTGTATCCATGCAGGTACTTATTCAGTGAATGTACTTTTACGGGTACCCCAAACAGTACATACATCAGTAAAATTACTGAGAATTTTCAAAGTACTCATATTGGGTACCCTGAACTCAGTACTTTCTCTAGGGATATATTCAAAAACGCATAAATCTTGTCATATTTTTTGCGAAACATGATTAGTAATGAGTGTTGAAGTATATAGCGAGAAAATATGCACTCGTCTTCATTTCAACTTACAGATTGCGGCTGATAGACAGACCGACAAAATGGATAGGATTTTTTTTTAGATTAGTAGCAATCTCGGAAAATCTTCACAAATTTTTCTCAGAAACAAGCTATTTTATTAGAAGATTTTTAAAACCTTATTTCAAGATTTGATAGTTTGATGTCGAACACTTTTAACGTTTTTTCATGATTTCATTATAGATCTAATAGCGATGATGCCTGGTCGCCATGTGACAACAAACGATTCCTTCTCCATCCTGGATCGCTTCTTGCTTTGTTTATTCACGAACAAATGAGCTCATTAGGTACGATTCGTCAGCGATCAGTAGAACGTCTACGTCTCGTCGAAACTCTTACAATCACCGATGAGTTGGGCACATGGTCTTATGATCATTTTCGAGGTCTCTTCGACATTGAGCTCCGTTCTCATCTTCAGAAGTCCTTCCCATCTTGTTGGGTCCTCGCTAACGATGCTCGCATCCACTGCCAATTTGCTTTTAGTGGTACTCGACAAGCCAGTGAAATTGCAACATCACTTTTCTTCGAACGCCCACGTACTAGTTCTCTTGAACAGTTTGTTGAAGATGTGTGTGCCAAAGAAGACAATATGAAAGCTAAACAATGGCTCGAGGCATTGCATGCAGGAGACATTCTTTCATTTCCTCATTTATCTAATTTAAAACAAACTGAATGGGACAATATAAAAAAATTGTCAATGAATGCAAAGAGAATATTGAAGACAGCGGTTGACCGAGAACGAGAGAGTGCTGCTGATGATCGACGACGTTCATTTGAAGAAAGTTCATCCAATGAAGAAGCTCCAAGGTTAACAGGTACTTACATCGATACAATTGACCAATACATTACACTTTCATTTTTAGACAATCTGCCTAAAGAATCTCGCTCCGAACTTCTTGCTAATCTTCATTTGATCAAACTTTTTATCTATCACACGCTCCGTTTTGAGCGAGCACTTCAAAGCTACGGGGCTCTATCCAAACTAGAGCCAGCTTGCATCGATGCATCATTTGCTGAGATGCGAGATGAGGGATATGCCGATGATGGACTCTTTTCAACAATGGGCGAATTCTTTCTGCCCCTGACAATATCTGAACAAGAATTGAGAATGCTAAGATCTATTGTTAGTAGTCAAGTACGACGCGATCAACTAAAAGACCATACCAAGGAAGTTCATCGCTTGGAAAAATTGTTGAATGAAGCAATAATGCATCGATGGGATATTGATGAAAAGATTACTGATCTGAATCGGACAATAGAGCAAGCATATATATTATATTTAAACGAGCGATTACAAATGAATACGGCAAACACATCACGTGAATAAGCGAAAGAGTTGCAGCAAATTGATCGGCAATGGCAATACAATCGAACAAAATTCGAAGAAAAGTTGCTTCCATTGAAAAACACATTGGATCAATGGATAAGTCGTGTTACAGAGTATGAAAAACAGGTAGATGAACACAATACCCAGATCAACAATATTCAAACCGAATTAAGTCAACCACAACGTCCAGTTGACAAAGGACTCGTGAAGCCCGCGAGGGGATTCATTATGTATGGGCCTCCTGGTGTGTAATGCTTTTATTTTACAATTTTTCTATTGAAAGAGCTCGACTTTGTTTTTAGGTACGGGTAAATCGGAGATCATGAGTAAACTAAGCACGAAACTAGGTATTGCCATGGTCGGACCACCTCTAGCAGCTGGCGAACTCAATCGTCCTTTGGTCGGTGAATCAGAACGAGTCATAATTGCACTTGCCTCCCGATGTCATCGTGTGCCCTATGCTATGTGCTGTTTGTCTATTGATGAAATTGATTCCCTAGCACCGAAACGTGATGAAGATTCAAGTGAAGGAAAAGTAGACAAGATTAGTGTTCTTCTCTCATTAATTGATGGTATCAAAGATGTACCCAACCTTATGATTTTCTGTGCTACAAACCGTCTGCACATGATGGATGAAGCTTTTTTGCGGCGTATGTCTGGAAAATTTTTTGTTGGTCGACCATCATCTCAAGCACGCACGAAAATCTTGGCTCAAATACCAGAATGGGCTCTTGAACCAGATCTCATCGATCGGTTAACTATTGTTTCAACGAATTTTAGTGGTGCGGCATGCAAGTAAGTTCAATAATTAGAACTTAAAGATATCACAGTATTTAAAAGGCACTTTAATATTTTGATGAAAACCGTTTTCGATGGTCACGATGTTATCTTATCTCTTTCAGAGCATTTACTCGAGCCATCACTGTTCGTTGCATGGCTGCTCAAAGAACACAACCAAACTTTCATGTCAACTATAAAGAAGCGCTGAAAATCGCCGATCGAACTGCACAACAATATCAAATCTTCCTCGGTAGCGAAAATTTACCTCGTCTACTTCTGCGCAACCTCATGAATGGATCAAGGATTCGTGTAAATCACCTATCACGACACATATATGCAGGACGAATCATTGTCGATCTACATGGCGGCAGTGCACGTATTGAAATCATTGAGAGTGGTGGTCGTATCGCCGTGATCGAACATAAACTTTTGCCAAATGAGACAAGTGTACAGAGTCTGCTTGAACGATTGACCGTGTACGGAAAAGATCGAAATGTACAACTTCTTCAACTAATTGATCTCAATCTGCTTGCTTCCCAAGGAGCGTACGATGAGAAAAAAGTATTTGAAACACTGAAAGAACGATATGACGAATGCGTAGCCTATACTCGTTCAATGATCATCTACGATCTTGATTCGCTTGTCGGTGTTAATAAATCGGAATCAGATTCGTCTATGGGTCGATCCATGAGTTCATCTGTCGTCAATCAAAGTGTGTATACATATGTTCGTGCAAGATTTCGAGAAGCAGTCGTTGAGCAACAACAAGAAAAAAATGATGAACAACAACAAATGGTAGAAAAATGGGCAGTGGCTGTTATTCGAGAACCTTTTCTTTTGAGACAATTTTCGTCCGATGTTCAATTTGCACGAACACGACAAGAAGAAGAAGAGCTCGAGTTGGAACAACATAAAGCTGAAGATCTCCTCAAATGTGTTAAATGCAAAGATCTTTACATAGAGAATGAAAATAAAATGGGTAAGAAAAGAAACTTTTATTCTTCTTATTCATAACTCTACTTCTTCTAGGTAATTGTGTTCATCACGATGGATTTATATATGATAATTCAGCACCTGATCTTGCCATTCACACTCAAAGTGAAGTGGCATATATGTTGACGAAACTTGAATGCGATGCTATCAATTATCCTGAAAGACGTGAAGAATTTGAGCGACAAAAAAATAAATTCAAATGGATATGTTGCGACACGACAGTGACAACAGGTTCCGGTGCAGGTGGGTGCAAAAAAGGCAAACATGGCTTTGGTGAGGAAGTCAGAGAGGGGCAGCGGCGAGATGGACATCGTCTTGATCAAACAGTGGGAAGAAGAGTGTCGACGTAATCAAGAATACAATGAAAGATGGTTGCTTTTGTTGGAGAACCGAGGTTAAACTCGGACACCTTTAAACAGACTGTGTACTTTAGTGGAGGATGTGTGGGTGTGTATGTAGCTAGGGCGTGACTTTTGCTGTAGGTATAGGTATGGATGTTGGTGAAGAGATAACCGACATTCACACTCAAACAAATCTTTATGTTATATATAATAAAAAGATCTTAGTTTGTCTTCACCGACCTGCAAATACACTTTACGTTGTTTTAACGAACATGCGATAAAAAATAGTTTTTATTACGTTTTTAAGGACTGTGTGGCAGTTTCTAAACAAGACCATTGTCGAGTGTATTTGATACTGATTTGAGCAATATGCACGTTGAAGAGTACCGATGTATTTTTAAAATCGCGTATTACTGTTTTAGCAGTAAATTGTGCGAAGAAGTTTCGACTTCATCATAGTATATAAATATTTTATATACTATCAGAATGAGTGACGATGAACTTTGGTCGTTTTGTCGAAGGTACAATTTGTCCTTGTGGTGTTTCCCTTCGTTGCTCATTACTTTTCTTGCACATTGATGATCATATCAATGTAACTAGTCTCAGATTCAATTCAAGAAAAGAAGAATACTCAATTAGTTCGTCGCTAGATGTTGGCTGAGCTTTAGAAAGCTGTATGTTTGTTACAATTTCATTATGATTCATCAATTACTAGTTTTTAAAAGAAACATTCGTGAAATAGTATCCAGAATGGAAAATGATAATCACAGCTTGGGTGTTATCGTGCCAATATTTTGAATCATGAATTATAGATTTCCTCTCTACGAAAGAAACGGGATAAGCAGAGAAAATAAAAATTAACTTTATCTACCTGTTCGAGTCAATCGTAAAAAAATTGAATTCATGACTCATTAGAGTTAAAAAAACAATTGTAGAAAAAGGGTGGGTGTGGGTGTGGGTGTTAGTTTGGTACTAAGCCTGTTAAATCATACTCACACACACACTCACCCACACCCCACACTCCACACCCCCATCCACACCCTTTTGAGAAGATGAGAGTCTATCTATAAATGTTGAAACAGAAACGAATATGGTTAACGTATAATATCTATTTTTTTATCGTTCTCCTGCACGGTAGATTCGTTTTAGTAGTGTTCATTTATTTTTCTTTAATTAGATTTATATTATACTATTTTTTTTCAAAGTTATATTCGATTATAATCTGCTGATATAATAGATCTACTATCAATTTTCTCTATTACGTTTACCGATACTCAGCCCTCCCCCCCCCCCCCCAAAAAAAATTGAAACTTCCTTATTGTAATTAGCTAAAATAGAATACTTGTTTTGGAAGTAAACAGTATTTTGGAGGAGAAATGTCTTTATATCCCGTCTCCCAAAGTTGGAAAGGTCAGGGCAACCCTGCCTATACTTCTTGTAATATGAAGAATTTAAACTCAATAATATAAGTTTAAATAATCATGTTTTAATATATAAGAAGACAAACATGACTAGAATCGTCTAATGTTTTCACAATTTAAAATAGATGAGCATTAAAGGGTTGAGGATAATTTTTAAGTTGGTTCTGAAAGATTGCGAAATATTCAGAATCTACAAACGGAACTCTTGTTTTCATGAACTCGATATACAACTTTTGGTTTAATTAAGTCAAGATTTATAAAAATAGAATATGTAAGTATTGAATAAAAAAACCACGCGTTTAAACGCGTTTTATTTTCCTGACATCTATAGACGATTTATCACATGCTTCTAGAATTCATACCCTCGTTAGAAATTTTCGCTACGTTGTAAAACCCTCTTCTAAATAATTTCGTAAGTAACTTAATGCTAATTGGAGGGTGTGGGTGTGGGTGTGAGTATAGGAAATGTCGACACCCACGCACCCACATCCGCACACACCCACACCCAGGATGAAATGAAACCAGCATAAAAGTAAATAAGTTAGTTATAGCTCATTGAAATTACAAGATACATTTCTTCGACAAAAGTCCAGACTGATCAAGCAAAAATCAACAATGCAGCAATGTAACAATATAATCTTTCTTCAGATACATGCTTCGAATCTTGCTTTTTGTCTTTTCGTTCTCTGTCTTATTATGTACTCTATTTGCGTTCTCTCAACATCAGAGATGGGGCATTGGGAGTGATTTTCTTTGAAGATGGAATGTGAAACTCACATATCTTCTTGGGTTTTATCATACTAGTACAAAATAGACAAAGTGTCAAACTTTTTTTAATGGTGATTGAGTGTCAGCAAACGTTCTTATTTTATTTTAAATTTGCGAACAAAAATTTTGTTTTTCTTTTTTTTACGGAAATCCTATTTTTCCTTTTCATTGCTACTATTCGATCGTTACTTTTTATTTTCTTATTACATTTTTCTTAACACCAAATTATTATTATGAGTATTGAATTAAATGGAAAATAAGGCTATGTTAAACATTTCATGTTTAATCCCAGGTGTTCAAACCTGTGATGGAAAGGCTGATGGTATGGGTGTCTGTAGTGTGGGGCTGAGATGTGATGGTGTGTAATGTAGAGCACCGAGGTGGTGGTGATGGACAGAAAGGAACAGAATAGCTTTTAATTAAAACTTCCAATCTGTACTTTCTTCAAAAATATATGTGGGTTCCACAAAAGATTGTAAAATGAAAGAAGAAAGTTCAACACTTTTGCACTTTTAACATTGGTATATACACCATTTTAGCACTCAAAAATATCCGTGCATGGCTTCCTCCCTCACTTTTTCTCTTCATTCCATTCCTACTCTTCACACATATAAAGTTACCATATTATGCATATTTGCTTCTGAAATCTGTACTCCTTGAATTAGATATTTTAAAATGCCGAAAAATACAGCGTTGAAGATGTAGGGTGTGTTAGTAAGTGTAGTTAAGTGTTATCTTTCTTGTTTGTATAAAATAATCTACAAATATTTCTGTATAAATCATATTGAGATGTTGAATATAACAAAATAGCAAGCCATATTATGAACTATATATGACCCTATCAAGATGGATCATGAAATATCAGGACAAAGACAGGTTTTTTAGTCAAAAATAGAAAAATCAGGACATCTACAAAAGTAAGGAAAAAAGGGTAGGTGAACAGTAGACACACACCCACATCCACACATCATAAAATCGGGAATCGCACTACATATTTAGTTGTTCATGGTGAAGAGTCTTTGACATTTAGAGCACGTAAAAACTTATGCTCCATCGAGTGAGAGAATGTACTTTTCAATCAATTTGACCTATTGTGAGTTGAGTTAGTATAACTTGACACCCTGGCGATGCACCACAATCAGGATGAGCAGTACCACCAAATGAATTAAAGATGATATTGTCAATGTCTTTCCAATTAAGTAGAATAAATTGTGGTTTACCAAAGAGAATTGTTGTTGTATGTGTGTTGATTTCTACATCATTTCGATGTCCTGTGATGGTTAATTGTTGATCATCGTTCGAAGCAGCACATGCAGTAATAGAAAAAAAAGTAAATTTTTCATTTGGGTTTTCGGCGTCGATTGATGCATTATCCTTGAAATATGCAATGTATGAACTACCATCAGGCATGAATGATGTTGCATATGCACTTTTTGGATAGTTCAGCATTGCGTACGATTTGTGCATATATGAAAATTTAGTCCATTTCAGTCCACTATACTTTTTCGGAACGTTTTTCAATTGGTCAACACAATTTGGCAAATCATCAAATGTGATCCTAATTGTTGTGATCGATGGCTCTAAACTCATTACATTTATTCAAAATGTAACATAGTTATTCACTTACTCAATATGCGCATTTCATCCAATTGAAGATTGAGTTCGTGCATTTCACGTTTATTCTCTTTACATTCATCTCGAAGTTGTCGAAGTTGTTCTTTCAAGCAAATTTTTTCTGTATGTTTTTTAGCAGCTTCACCTCTCTTGTATATGAGTTTGCAATCTTGACAAGTTAATTCAATTGATGCACAGCTACTCTTATGTGTATCAAAATCTTTTTTCAATATTTGTGACTGACACCCAGAGCATCGTTGAAACTCGAAGCCACATTCACTCTCATGTTTGTCTAATTTTTCATATGAAATGATCTATGAAAAGAAATAAAAATATACAAGTGAAAATGAGATCATTTTCTGAATACTTGTTTGCATCCATTAGATTCATAGAAACAAGCAACCTGTAATTGAGCAAGTAGTTTAGTAACAAATCGAGGACATTCTCGTTCAATGTATTTTTCGTCACAATTTGAACACTTTCTTGAATTGTTCACCAACCATTGATGAATACATGCCGAACAGAAAGGTGTTTCACATGATTGACAGGCAACAGGTTTCCAAAGTAATTTGTGACAAATAGAACATTTGAGATGATCAACACTGAGCGCAGAGGTGTCACCAATACGATGAGATGATAAACCTTGTTGCTGTTTAGATGACATCTAAATAAAATAAAAAAGGCAGTCATCAAAATTAATAAACTTTCATGTGTGAATTATGAACAAAGTTCTGTATTTCTTCATTCGAATACAAGTGTAAATTTTTAAAATATGATGCAGAGTTCGATGATGGCCCTCTTTCTTTTATTCCAACAATGTGGTAATTATAGCAACATAGAGTCAACTTGAAAAACACAAAAATGAATTTTTTTTTTTGGTTTGTTTGGTTTTGTTTATTATGACACCACTAGAACACGAGAATAAAAATTACATTAGAAAATTGTTTCGGAACTTGTTTTGAGAGTACGAATGTGAAAAACACGGCTACTGTGTGTTGATTCTCTCGCTTGCTTTTTCTTTTAGAAGTTTCTTTGATCAAATTGATTCTAGTAAGTGGCAATGCTGTTGTCACCAATCAAAATGTGTTAGATAGACGAAGAAAAAGGATCGTTGCCAAACAAACAATTTCGATCTCAAAAAATGAGTTTATTATTACATTTATGCAGAAGAAATATATTTCATCGCTCTTTTTAAATTTTAGAATAAATAAAATTCTACAACGTAGTGACAATGAACATTTTCACCAATATAGATTTCTTAGAGGTTCCGAAATTGTATTTGCCAACAATTCAGCATTCACTTTTCATGCTACAAATTATTCAAATCAGTTAGATTTTTTCATATGCGTTGAACTTTGCATTCTAAAATAAAACCTTTAAGGGTGTGAGTATAAATAATAAAGAGAAGATCCACACCCACACCTTCTATGTATTGGATGACACGCAAAACATCACTTGCTCAACTACTAAATCAGAAACTCATGAATTTGGAGTGTTGCATTTAATGAATTTAGCTAATTTTCTTTCGAAGACTACTAAAACATGAAAAAAAAATGTGTATGAGTTACGTGATCCTATTTTTCTTAAAGAATTTTCTCGCAATTTGGCCATGAAAAAACGATCCTTTCTATGTAAACAGATGCATAATTTGAAGCTCTACTAATTCTAAGCCAATGGCAATGTTTAAATGTTTTAGTTGACATGAAAATGTGCCAAAAATTGATAAACAAATATATTTTCTAGAAGATTTTAAACATTTGAAAACTTAATTAAAATAAGTGTTTCTGGCGCTATAATAAAACGCATTTGTGTAGTTTTTCTTGGCGTATTTGAATAGACAATAGAAACTTACTTAACAAGCAAAATCACATTTTATTCCAGTCAAATGCCGAATAAATGATGTTTTTGTTATATCCACTAAAGCCCTCGACACATTAGAAGATCTCCCTATCTTAGATGACCCCCCTGAAAATTGATTGTTGTAATGACTTCTAAAGCTTTTGAATTTTTTTTTAGCATTTATGTATATGTTAATATTTAAGTTATTTTTTAGTATGGACAATATTTTGCTTTCATCGTCTGAGCAGCATGTCAACTTTGAGTTGGACAGGTCATGAGAGAAAACTAATCAAAAAGAGTAGTTAATAAAAGAAATGTTTTATGTATAAAAAAGCATGTTCTGAGATCACTTTGATGCCTCTTTGCAGCGTGCTGTGAAGAAGCTTGTTAGATTTTCTTTGCGAAAATATTCGTTCCAACTATCCCAGGACCTAATTAATGTGGTATGCATCCAAACGTGTCACACATGCAGAGATCTTTCTGAAATAAGAACATCTTTGGTAAAAACCCGCTGCCCATTAGTTAATACTTCGCTTCGTCTGTGCACTATCTTCAAGAAATTTTGACACGTTTTTATCATGCAAGATCTCATTCATAATTGGAAAAATATATCTTTGAGGACATGCGATGAGACGTGTCTTATGAAATACTTCTCCTATGTCTGAGGACGTATCTCTTTTCGCATGAAGATGCCATGGTGCTTTTCGAAGCAGACACAAAATATTCTAAAACCACTTTCAACGTGTATTCAATCGTTCTTTTTCTGTAAATTGTTTCTTCGTAGAGAACCATATTCATTCAAATTGGCTAGAAACTAATAACTAAGTTGGTGGTACATTTCATCTTGAATCAATCCTTTTATACGAGCCAATCCTCATCATAAGGAACTAACTGAAATAACTTTGACATAAAAAGGGTCAATTTTCTTTCTTTAAGTTATTTATACCCCGGATAAAAGTCTTTTTCCCCTTTGTTTCTATGCTATCATACTTTGCATCAAATTTATGATCAAATAAAGATATGGCATAAGAGTTTTATTTCGATGTAATCTATTCCATATTGAAATAAAACTCTTATGTCATATCTTTACTCGGCAATAAATTTGATACAAAGTATGATAGAATGGAAACAAAGAGGGAAGAAAGATTTCTGTCCGAGAGTGTGGTTATAAAGAGCATAAGTGCCACCAATGATAGATCGTATTCTTTATAAAAAATAGTCCTATTATTAATCGTACAAAAATTTTAAGATATGTTGTCTATATTGTTTCAAGAACACTCTTCTAACCAACGATTGTTTTCTCTTTTTTGCATTAAAATATTAATCGCTTCTTTTTCATTGATGAGCGTGGGATAAGTAAAATAAACTCGTGTACTAACGGTGTATTGGACAAAAAAGTGTTGAAATTAGGATTTTTCGTTGAGATCACCAAAAAATTTGACTTTTTTTAGGGACATAATAGAAGATCCGCTTGTGACTTGTGAATGATAAGACAGAATAGAGGATCCCAGTTCGTCAAATGTGTCGAGGGCTTTACTTTTAATGCCACAAAAGAACGAAATATCGTTACTTAAAAAAGAGGGTGTGGGTCTTCCATCTATTACACCTACACCTGCACCTCACATCCATACTCTCACCCTCAATATTTCTTTCCTATGCTAATACATTGTTAAATTAGGATAGTCATATCATACTCCAGACATACTTATGAACACAAGCACAAAATCTTAGGTTTTGATTCTAATAATGACAACTGCGAAAAGAATAAAGAACAGCAACGCATATTGCCAATCGTCCACATCTTCTGCCTCCGAGTCGACATCTTTCTTTTCATCTACCAACTGTTCCTCGATTTCTTCGATGAACCGATCAGACTTCTTGAGCACTTCTTCGATCTTACGTGTTTCGTTGACATATTCCAAAGCTATTACTTGACTCAAAGGTATCATCCATTGGTGGGCTAAATGTCAAACATCACTGAAACTACAGTTAACACTCTTGCCACGTACATAATTGGGTATGGGTATGAATGTACGTATGGGTGTGTGGATTCAGATATTAACCCTATCTCAAGGCACACCCAAAACGACATTCACGCCCGCATACCCGATTTCGCGCAACGTTAAAATGACGAAAAACTCGGTCAAATACCATTAGAATTTGACTCATAGCTTTTAATGAATTGAGATTAAAGTGTCGGCCTCTCATAGGTTTGTAGCCCAGCAGTGGGTAATTCTAGGCCACTCCTCAAAGTTTAAGATTCGTTCTATCTTCGTAGAACACCAGTCTACTCTTTCAAGACGACCATGCATCACTACTTGCTTATGAAATAAATTTCAACAATTTTATGTGAATTAATGCGCAGGATACGCCTCTTTCCAATGGTGAAAACTGCAGCTCTCTGTCTTGTTTCTATCGAAAGTTATTCAAAAAATACCCACTGGCCTTCTTTTTTGCGATGGGCAGTGGTACATTAGTCTATAGCTGTGTATTTTAGTATTTTTAAATTTTGACTTCAATAAACATTTGTTTTAGCTAATTCGATCAAATACCAAGCCAAAATAATTTGCTAAAATATGCTTCGGATTGGAATTAATGTGTATTTGGTTCTCTCAAGGTGTAGTCAAGGTCAATTTTCAACCTTGTTAGTGATTCTACTAGTCAAAAGCGCATTGACTCACCCAAGGATGGGTGTGGAATGTAGGTGTGAGTGAGCACGTGGGGTTCCTCTGCTCTTAATCTTCACCCATAGCTTCTCTCACACCCACACCCACACCTTCAATCTGATTTTCAAGAAGAACTCGAAGAATGACTACAATTGACAAAGCAGGAATGTTCGATATTTTCTTGAAACAAATCAATAGACTTTATTATTCGTACTAATCGACAGAAAAATTCTTGAATAATCAGTGTACATGAATATTGTTTAAATCAAAAGTAAGCTCTCGAAAAAGATGCGAATCAGAAAAAGTATGCCATGAGGAAATATGATCGGT